CCCCTGGACTGCTCAGAGGTGGTGGGAAGAGGCGTGGCTTTGTTTTCTTTTCCCTCCAGGAAAGTGACTCATGTTTTTAGAGTAAAAAGGTGGAAATTTTTATTAATATTTTATTCTTTGCAATGATCTATCCTTATAATGTGGAGGTCTCCCTGGCCCCAAAGGACTTAAGTCCTGGAGACACAAATAGTCCGCAAGTTGGGAAGCACTGAACTTTGCCATATAGCTATCACTCTATTTTCTACCACATTCTTTTTTTTTTTTTTTTAAATATATATATATATATATATATATATATATATATATATATATATATATATATTGGTTTCAGAGAGAAAGAGAGAAGGAGAGAGAGAGAGAGAAACATTGATGAGAGAGACACATCCATTGGCTGCCTCCTGCAGGCCCCTTACTAGGATCGAGCTCACAATCTAGGCATGTGCCCTGACAGGGAATCAAACCCAGGACCTCCTGGTTCATAGGCTAATGCTCAACTACTGAGCCACTACAACTGGGCTTCTACCACATTCTTGAAAGCTGGTATCACTGGGAGCAAAAGAACTTGCTGGCTGAATCTGCTGCTTCAGTCAACAGGATTCTCCAACATGTCACTGCATCACAGACAGGACCAGGAGTCAATCCTGTGTGCCTCGAGGCAGCCGAAACTGTGTTGGCCCGTCTGGCCCTGTTCATGACTAACTAGCTGGCTTAGCTCTCCCCACTTTCCCTTTTTACTAGAACTGATCTGTCCGAGTGTGCTCGTGTATATGTTTTGAAATGTATCATTCTGTGAAAAATGCAACAGGGAATGTTGTCACACACAAAAATTGGCATACACATAGCACACAGTTTTTTCCTACATACACAGCAAGAACAAGAAGAATGGAGAAACCTGTAAGGCTCTTAGGATCTCTTCATTTAAAAGGCTGACAAATTGAAATACTGATTGAGTGTCCAACTCTAATGTTGGGGAAGGTAAAGAAAATGTGACAGGCGTGTGGTTTTCACATACCTCTCTGGAGGTCGGGACTGAGAAAAATGAATCTGCATCTAAGATACAGAAAACTTAATCATTATGAAAAAACAACTGAAAAGAATATAACGTTATTGTTGAAATTCATCTATAGAAAAACCGTAACTATGAAAGGAAAGTAGGATACTGTTTTCAAAAAACAATAGTTACCGCATTTTAAACCCTCATTATATGCTTTTCACAAGGATAAGACTTTAAAAAGAAGGAAAAGTATAAATTGAAAGTAAAAGGATATATATAGTAATCAAAGAAACTAGAAGGGATTATATTAACAAAATAGAAAGTAAAATTGAAAACAAAGTCATTGTTAGAGATTTTTTAAAAAGGGCTGTTCATAACGATAAAATATCAATTAAACAAATATATACAATTCAGAAGTTAGATGCACTAATAAAATCTCTTCAAAATTCATAAAACAAAATCAAATATGAACTATATTTTTGTATTTGAAACATAGATCAAAATAGACAATATGCTGGTCCATAATCATTACAAACAAAAATTATGCAGAAGTACAACTGGCATTACTTATAGATAACAGGAATGTGTAAGCTGAAAACCCAAAAGAATCAACAACTAGAATTATAAAGAAATTCAATAAAATTGACTGTATCTATAAAAAAGTCCATTGTACTTCTATATAAATACAATAACTAATAAGAAAATTAAATTTATAATTATCTTTAGAGTGACACTAAAACATCAACTATCAAGAAGTACATCTAAAACAAAGAAACAAAAGATTTCTCACTGAAAACTATAATACATTACTGAGACGATTAAAGATAATCTAAGTAACATTTGTTTTGGATTAGATTCATGGGTTGATAATAAATTGGAAGATGCAATATTGTTATCATTTTCATCCCTTCCCTAACTGATCTATAGACTTAAAACAGTACCAATAAAAATCTCAGCAGTTGTATGTGTGTGTTTGTATGTAATTGATAAATTGATTCCAAAATTTATATGAAAATACAGAGTACTGAAAATAGCCAATACAATCTCCAAGAAGAAAAAATTGGAGAATTTACATAGACACATTTCAGGCTAGAGAAATAAACATAGATTGGTACTGGGCAAACACAGATTGAATGACTAACAGAACAAAATAGAAATCAAGTCACATATATGGCTGTCTGATTTTCAGCAAAGGCACCATAGTCATTCAGTGAGGACTTGACAGTTATCAGTAGACTACATAATTAGTTTATAGTATATACAAATAATAAAATACTACTAGATGGCAATATAAAGATCCTGCTACTGCAAAAATATGAATGAGACATATATAATGTTGAATACAATCATCTATATGAAGATCAAGAACAGCAAAACTTATCCTATATAATAAAAGCCTAATATGCTAAGTGTCTGGACGGATGTTCAACCAATCAAAGTGTAATATGCTATTGATATGCTAAGGCCACTCAATGGCTCGCTATGACATGCACTGACCACCAGGGGGCAGACAGTTGACTGGTCAACCAGTAGCTATCACAGGCACTGACCGCCATGGGGAAGACACTATGACCAAAATTTATATGAAAAAACAGAGTACTGAATACTGAAAACAGAGTACTGAATAATCTAAATAACTAATGGGATTAGTTTTGTGTTTGTTTTTTTTTTCCTCAAAGCTTGTGTGTCTTTTTAAAAAAATATATATTTTATTGATTTTTTTTACAGAGAGGAAGAGAGAGGGATAGAGAGTTAGAAACATCGATGAGAGAGAAACATCAATCAGCTGCCTCCTGCACACTCCCCACTGGGGATGTGCCCGCAACCAAGGTACATGCCCTTGACCAGAATCAAACCTAGGACCATTCAGTCCGCAGGTTGACGCTCTCTCCACTGAGCCAAACTGGTTTTGGCTAACAGGGTTAGCTTTGTCATGATTTGTAGCCTATTTGACAATCAACACCAGCAATATTCAGTAGGTTAGCTTGCTGCTGGGGTCCAGCAGATCAGGACTGAACAAGAGGGGCCAGACATGACTTGGAGCCCTCCCGTAGTTTCTCCCTGGCAGGCCAACCTTCTGCATCTCTCCCTGGCCCCAATCAACCTGGCCTGCATCCTCTTGCAATCCGGGACCCCTTGGGGGATGTCAGAGAGCCAGTTTCGGCCTGATCTCACAGGGCGAGAGCTGCTCAGCCAGAAGCCAGACTCACAGCTGGCGAGCACAGCAGAAATGGTGGGAGCATCTCCTGGCAGTGCTAAGGGAGTGGGCCTAGCCATCAGTCAAAAATTTCCCGAGAGCTTCCGGATTCTGAGAGACATCGCCTGAGTGCACAACTTTTGTGCATCAGGCCTCTAGTCTATAATAATAGAAATCAAATATTGGTTACCTTTGTGGAGTTTGACTGGAAGAGACATGAGCAACTCTTTGGGGGTACTTATAATGTTGTGTACCTTTACCTGGATGACAGTTGCATGTGTGGTATGTTATATTTCAATATTAAAAAGTCAAATAGAAAGAGAAGCTTTCAAAGAAAACTGAGAAGGAATCAACAGCAAGAAAACAAGAAACTGGCCCGAACCGGTTTGGCTCAGTGGTAGAGCGTCGGTCTGCGGACTGAAAGGTCCCGGGTTCGATTCCGGTCAAGGGCATGTACGTTGGCTGCTGGCACATCCCCGGGTAGGGGATGTGCAGGAGGCGGCTGGTCGATGTTTCTCTCTCATCGACGTTTCTGGCTCTCTATCTCCCTCCCTTCCTCTCTGTAAAAAATCAATAAAGTATATTTAAAAAAAAAAAAAAGAAAAGAAAACAAGAAACTGAAACAGAACCAGAGAAAATTGAGAAGACTTTCATGAAGAGGTGAATAAGCAGCAGGGGTAGGGGTAGGGATTAAAGGGGGGAACTAATGAGTTTATTTAATTCACCAAAGATGCCCTTAATGAGATCTTTTTGTAAAATGGAAGAACTGAGATCCGTTTTCAGTCATTCAAGTTGTGAATGAAGAGGAAGGAGCTGCAAAGAATCCTAACAAATCTTGCTATCTGAGCAGGGACAGAGAAAGGATGGTAGCCAGAGAGCGATGTGGGGTTAAAGAACGGTGTTTCCTTTTAAGTAAAAATGAGACTGTGGATCCTTTATATCATTTATTTCTAGTCTCTATAACCCTAACTGGATCCCGAGTGTTAAATTCAGCAAAGAAATTTCTCCTCTTTTATTTAATTTTTATCATAAGAAAAAAGGTATACTTCCAATGAAGTTTGGAAAATTATATCCTAAAATTTGAATCATTCAACTTTTTTACTAAAAATAAACCATTCATAGAAAAGTTTGCTTAAATATTTCTAAGGGAAAGGTTACAGAATCAATTACCCTGGAAATGCCTATCAAACTTGCAACTCAGTGGTTATTTAATCTTGCCCTAGCTGGTTTGTTTCAATGGATAGAGCATCGGCCTGCAGACTGAAGGATCCTGGGTTCGATTCCCATAAAGAACATATGCTCAGGTTGTGGGCTCAATCTCCAATAGGGGGCATGCAAGAGTCAGCCAATCACTGATTCTCTCTCATCACTGATGTTTCTATCTCTCTCCTCCTCTCCCTTTCTCTCTGAAATCAATAAAAAATATATTTTTAAAATAGTTTCTTTTATCTTCTCCCCACCAATTCATGTGACGGATATAACATATGCACACTGATAATTGCTAGGTGATCACTACATTTTTTCTTGTTCCATGGAAGTTCAATACTGTTGCAGATGTTTTGGTATTTTTTCCCTCTGAGTACCTCTTTTTAGGGAAACTTGCAGTGATGAAAAGAAGAACTGGGTTCGTTTTATCATGATCTGTAGCCTATCTATACCACATTAAGCTCATAGCTTCATTTAAAAAAATATATAAACCCAGGGTTTGCCATAGAGTTTTACTTTACAATCAACACCAGCAATATTCAGGCACAGAAGTATACAGGTCTTCCTCCCATAAAAAGTATATATAAACAACAAATGACTTACTATAATGTGCTGATAAGGATCTATAAATGACATTCTGGTTTCAACTACAGGAAAGCTCTTCACACTTCAAAGGCCTTCACTGGCACTCTAGCTTCGTTACAACCTACAAAATAAACAGTCATTGTTAAGCTTCCTCTTGGATGTAGTTCCAAGACTTGAATGATGATGGGTATGAACCGTAAGACGGAAAAGGATACCCAAGGGGACCAGCTAGACTGAGTCCCCTAATTGTGTATCAGAGATGGTTTACACATAGAACTTAGGGAAAGGACAAACATTATTTTGATAGTACTGTTTCATTTCCATATTTATTTGTTCAAATTTATTCTGTGAGTAATTATTAAGAAACTCCAGGACTCTTTTGAATTTTCCAAGTGTTTTATGAGAAATTCATTGAAATTACGGAAAATGCAAATTATTTCTTGTACTATTTATTTAAAAAAAGCCACATGCTATTGTTTGCTTTCTCAGTTGGGGCAGTATTATGCAAATTCATGATAAGAAAGGAATATTTTTTCCCATTAGCTATTTGTTAAGAATTTTAAAAATATATTCATGCTTAATTTCAACTGTAGTGCTGACATTTTAAAGGAGAGATTTGTTCATTCTAAGGAACCAGTTTAATTTGGGAGCAGTTAAGTAAGAGACATTGTAATGAAAAAAACTCGCGATACTTTTGTTTTCTACAATTATTACCGTCCCCCATTATGAACATCCCCTATCAGAGTGGTACATTTGTCACAACTGAAGAACCTATATGGGCAAATAGTCATCTAAAGAGTATAGTTTACTTTAGGATTCACTTGATGCTGTACATTCTATGGGCTTTGAAAAATGTAGAATGGCATGCACCGATTATTAGTGTCATAAAAGTATTTGCACTGCCCTAAATACCCTCTGTCCTCTTCCTATTCATCCTTCCCTGCCCCCACCCCTGATCTCTGGCAACCACTCACCTTTCTACTGTGTCCTTAGTTTCCTCTTTTCCAAAATGTTATACAATTGGAATTATACAGTATATAGGTAGCTGTGGAGAGTGGCTACAGTGTTTGGACAGGTTCAAGCCTTGGGCTGATGAGAGGGCACAGTCCTCTTATGGCCACGTGCAAGTCCCAGCTTGGTGGCCCTCACAGCACAATTATAACCAGTTGTAAGCTTGAATCTATGGTCCGAACATATGGCCCCACGTGCCTGAGTGATGTGGGATTGATACAGTTCAGGTGCATGTAATTGATTAGGATTGAAACCCATGAGAATGTTGTAAACATCTTGACCACGCCCTTACTTTGCCTCCTGGCATCTGGCTATAAAATAAAGGCAGGGCTTGTAGTCCACGGCGCTGTCTCTCCATCCAGAAGCAGTGTTCCACCCAGACCCAGCTTTTACTCTCTTGTCTGTCTTTTCTCAATCATTCACCGCCCCCTCTCAGGGTCACTGAACCTGGCTGAGCTGGCATGGCACATACTTAGTAATATGCATTTTAAGTTTTCTCCATGTCTTGTTATAACTTATTTATTTTTAACTTATTCCATTTCTACATGTACACAGTGTATTTATCCGTTCATCTACTGAAGGACATCTTGGTTGCTTCAAAATTTTGGTAATTGTGAATAAAGCTGTGACAAACAAAATCTTGCCACTTGTGAATAGCTGCTAGAAACATTTGTGTGCAAGATGTTGTATGGAGATAGTTTTCAACTACTTTGGTAAACATGAAGGAGTATGATTACTGGACTGTATGGTAAGAGTATGTTTAGTTTTATTAAAAAAAAACTGCCAAATTGTCTTCTAAAGTGGCTGTACTGTGTTGAATTCCCATCAGCAATAAATGAGAGTCCCTGTTGCTCCACATTCTCACCAGCATTGGATAGTGTCAGTGCTCTGGGTTTTGGACATTTTAAAAGGTGTATAGTAGTATGTCATTGTTATTTTAATTTCCACTCCCTGATGACGTATGATGCGGAGCACCTTTGTACATGCTTATTTGCCGCCTATAATATTTTCTTTGTTGGGGTGTCATAATCTTTGTTCACTGAAGCAGCATAATTTGATGAAAACACCACTGGATATGGGAGCAGAAAGACTGTGATTCAAACTCCAATTTCACATTCTATAAGACCCAGGCTACTCTGCCATTAATGTGAGAATCACTATCTTAAATGATGTAGTAAGGGCATTCGCAAGTGGCAAGAGTTCATTACTGTGCAAGGCACCTGTCCAACCATAGATACTAAATGCATTTAAGCTCCCATTTTCTGATCAAGATTACAGGAACTGACCGCTAATAACTACACACTTACTTTGAAAGATGTACTGTCTGTTGTAATTCCTGTTATGACTAGAATCTTGGAAAATGTTTGATGGATTGGTCATTCAACAAATACCCATAATCTCTTTTGCACTCTGCAATGTGATCAAGAGCAAATGGTAACCAGACAGATGTCTATCATGAAATTTTGTGGCTCTATAAATTTGTTACTGCTATGATTGGTAGGAAACTCAAGAAGTAAACAATGGTGACAATGGAAGTTAT